TTTTTGCGGCCTTTTTGCTGCTTTTTTGCGGCCTTTTTGCGGCCTTTTTGCTGCCTTTCTGCGGCCTTTCTGCAGCTTTTTTGCCACCTTTTTTGAACCTCTCGCTGATAGCGAAATGGGATTTCAAACACGAGCTTCAAAATAAAGTTTGGATTTCATTTATGTGAGTGGGAAAAATTTCCCCCAATTTTTATTGAAAGTCTGATTGGTGGTGTGAAACTTTGACCTGTTATAAATTATTCCTGAGACTGGAAAATTTAGAAAATTCATTCCATTGTGAGATGGGAGAAGTGGTTTTGGTACTGTGAGGTTTAAAACAAATTGAAGCTTCAAAGTTCGGAAATATAGAAAAAAAGGCATTTTTGTTCTTCATCCAAGGTAGAACCTAGTGACTAAAATAGAAAAATCGAAATTTTTTTTGTTTTTTCTCTCAAATTTCGCAATATTCTATATGAAGCGAAAGAAAGCTCTATTTCCTCAAAAAAAATATTTTGAACAATTCAAGAGAATTTTTTACCGTTCGTTATGGGTAAAGACAGTCGTGCCTCAAAAAAAATGGTAACTTTTTTTTTCATTTTTCAAAACCCTCGATATGTTTTCCTTACTACAAAGACACCAAAACCATCCAGATTAGCCAGGAATAACACTTGAACCTTTTTCTCCCGCAAACAAAGGAAAAAGAGGTTCTCGTCCTTGGTCAAAAAAAAGCCAAGGCAAAAAATGCAAATTACCCGTGTCCTCATCTCCTTTTTAGGACCGCCGCCGCCTCAGTAAATCATTCATAATCGCGCGCGCCGACGGTTCTTTTTTTTTCTGTTGTTTTCCGCTGCCGTCAACAATAAAGATAAGATTTCGGTGAGGATATCCTAAAAAAGAGTTATTTTTGAGGTTTTCAGGGAAAGAAAAAAAAGTTTAAAAATGGAAGAGATTTATTCAGAGATGCTTAGGAGCTCCAGAGTGGTCCCTGTAAGGTAGTTCCCTCTAGGGACCACTTTACCGACCCTATAGGGATCACTAAAGCTTGCAAGAGACATGTTAGTCGATAATTGTTATTAACTCTAAGCGAATAAGCGTTTCCATGAGAAAAACTGAAAAAATAAGCGTTTTTGAATGAAATTGAGAGACTTCTATAGGGTACACTTGAGCTTTAGGAGCTAAAGAACAAGACACTGAACCCCTATAGGGATCAGCTTAATTTACTCCTATAGGGACCCCTAAAGCTTGCAAAAGTGGTTCCTATAGGGGAAATGCCACTCGATAAGTGTGATGAACTTTGAGCGAAGAAGCATTTCTATGGAAAACGGAATAAATTAGCGTTTTTTGAATGAAATTGTTAGATCCCTATAGGGACCACTTGAGCTTTAGGAGCTAAAGAATCAAACCCGAAACATCTATAGGGATCAGCTTAATTGTAACCCTATAGGGACCTCTTTTTCGACCTCTAACACCTCTAGGGACCACTCTACCTCCCCCTACAGGGACCACTTTTACAACCATCATAAAAAAGGAAAAGGCCCCTGTAGGGTCCGCTTGAGCTTTAGGGGTTAAGGGGTCAGACCCCAAACCACTATAGGGACCACTTTTCCGACCTCTATAGGGGTTATTTTCCTCTCTAACCCCTATAGGGACCACTCTGAAATTCTTAGTGAGGAGAGTTAAATAATATTTCGATTAGGATATCTTGGGAGTTTTTTTTTGAGATTGTCAAGGTCAAAAAATAGATTTTGATTTTTCAAAAAATAGTACTTACAGTATATTTTCAAAGTTAGGTACTGCCTAAAAAAGTTTATTTATTTGATCTCTTCTATCTGACTTATAATAATATTTATTTATTTAAAGGCAGTACAAAAACAACATGTCCAAGAATGATTTTGAAAAGAACAAAAAAATTTGGTGATGAAGGGTTGAATAAATAAATAATAAAAGTCGAACCTCTGAGCCAGTGAGAAAGATTGTGAGGTAAATATGGAAAATGAAGGCAAAAAGTGGATAGAAAAAAAAGCAGATAGATAGAAAAAAAAATAAAAGAAAGTATTCACAAAGTATAGCCAATGTACATCAGTTATCAAAAATTGATCTTTTAATCACAATAAGTTCTTCGCGTGAAACGTATGCGTTGTGGGAAAATTTCGATCGTTTTTTTTTTTCAATTGTTTCGAAGGTCTGGATTATTCTTTCACCTGTTTAAGTTTCGAAATTCCTGAATATTATTTCTCAAAGACCCTAAACCCCTATAGAGACCACTTTTTCGGCCCCCAACCACTCTAGGAACCACTCTACCTCCCCCTACAGGGACCACTTTTACAAACATCATAAAAAAGGAAAAAGGTCCATATAAGGCCCACTTGAGTTTTAGGGGCTAATGGGTCCGACCCTAAATCCCTATAGGGACCACTTTTTCGACCTGTATAGGGGTTGTTTCCCCTCTGACCCCCTCTAGAGGCCACTCTACCTCCCCCTACAGGGACCACTTTTAAAATCATCATAAAAAAGTCCACTTGAGTTTCAGGTGCTAATGGGTCAGACCCTAAATCCCTATAGGGACCACTTTTTCGACCTCTATAGAGGTTGTTCCTTCTTCTGATCCCTTTAGGGACCACTCTGGGATTCCTAAGTGAAGAGAGTAAAATAATATTTTGATTTCAAGACTATTTTCTCGATAATTGAGAAGTTTTGCATGTTGATCCGGTACATCTAGGAATAATCTGGCAAAATTTTGACCTTCCTTCCAAAGTCAAACAAGCTCAACCAACTCCAAAGATAACACTGTAAAACTTCAGCTTCTTTAAACCCCCTCAAGCATTCTTCTCAATTGAGCGAGCCAATACCAAAAAAAAAAAGAGGGTCTCAATGTCTCCGCTGACCTGAAAACCCCAAATATGTAGGTAAAGGTACACGGGTAAAATCGTGGGCTTAAAGCCGTCGTGTCCTAATTGTGCGCGGGAAAGCCGTCCGTTCCGTCCGCATTGTAGAGACGAATCAAATTGCTCTGACCTCGGGAGCACGCGAGCTCGATGTTGTATGGCGAGGAAAGGAAAGGAAGGAAGCGATAAATCGCAGGTGCCCCCCTACCTGTTAATATCCGCGGCAAACATTGCGTTGGCCATGTTTTTTTTGCTCCTACCAGACATCTGTTTGTTTGTCTTTTTCGGGAGCTGGAGCAGCTTGATTAGTTGATTGGTTGGATGATTTGAAGCAGCTGGACAAGGTGGTACTTTGCGAGAAGATCTGACAATAGGGAACACTTTGAAAGGCAGTTTTTCTTGGGATGAACCGATTTTTACTCTCTGTCGCTTCGTGTACCTTTTTTGGGAGCTGGAGCAGCTTGATCGGTTAAGTTTTATTGTCTGGAAAGACTCCTCGGGTTGAACTCTACTTTTCATCTTTGGCTTCCAGATAAATGTTTGCTTGTCTTTTTGGGGAGCTGGAGCAGCTTGATCGGTTTTTGGTTGGAAGATTTGGAGGAGCTGGAGAAGGTAGAAATTTTTGTGAAGGGATCTGACAATATGAGAAATTTTGAAAGCCTGTTTCCTCGGGGTGAACTCAATTTTTTTTTTTCGCTTGCAGACACCTGTTGGTTTTTATTTTGGGAAGCTGGAGCAGCTTTATTGGTTAATTGGCTGAAGAATTGAAAGAGCTGGAGAAGGTAGTTTTCAAAACAGTTGAAATAGAAGATTTCTCGGATTTTTGGAGCTGTTCATGATTTTAAAAAAAAGTAGAAGAGCTTCTGAATCTCTTCAGAAGATGAAAGGAAGAATTTCCATATTTTCAAATAATCGATTATTTTTGATCAGAATTTTGTGTGAAATTAGTCCATCAGATCTCTAAAACCCAATCAATCATAATGACTTGCTCAAAGGGCGGCACGAAAGTCCGTCCATTTTTTATTACCCAATACTCCTGACTCGCCGCAATCATCATCATTAGACAACCTCGTTTACAAGTCGACGATTTTTCCGCGGCGTCTCTTATCCAAGTGTCGTAATCGCTCGATTATCTTGGCGCCAGATCAAGGCTCCTGCGTGCGGTAGATACCAATCTTTGTTGCTTTTCCTTTTCGTCTTTTCACTTTGCCGCGCTTTTATGGACTTGCTTAAGTCTTATGGGCTTGATTGGGATGGATTTTTCATTTTTAGGGCTTGCTAAAAGGTCGGAACGTGGGGAGCAGTTGTTATGGGTTTTTACTAGTAACATTTAGGGGTGTGTAGAAAAGGTTAAAGATGGAGAAACGGACTGAAGTACTCTAGGGACATTATTCAGAATGTGGAAGGGCCTGAACACTTACTTGGAACGGGAAAAATCTAGTGGAAGGACATGAAAAGTTGATCGATGATTTAAAAAATACGGAAAAAACCTATTGACCAAAAAACTCATAAAGAGAAGCTCAAAAGGTGTCAAAGTCAAAGTCTGAATGAACTTGGCGGATTTCTTATTTAAAACACTTAATTGAAAACCGTATATTTAGACTTTTAGTGGAGTTATATTACGGCTGTAGGTTTCTGTAGCGGAAAATACGGGGTTTCAGGAAAGAACTAAACAAAGAACATTTCAATGAAATCGAAACAGTCTTTCAAGACTTCTTTAAAAGTCGGCTGAACGGTAGTCCTATAGTCTGTGTGCCACGACTTGAAATTTCACCGAACGACATTCCGCTGTTCCGCTGCGTGCGTTAGCGGAGCGTCTTTCGAATCTAGATTGTTATTGCTGTGGGAGCACATGAATGTAGAGTACCTTGATAAAAAAAAAAAATTAAAAGCGCGACCAAGGCTCGCAAAGGCGCGCAGCGGCACAGCGGAATGTCGTTCCGTGAAATTCCAAGTCGTGGTACACAGCCTATATCTAACACATCGATATGAGCTTCTTAAGGTACCGGAAAGGTCACACATCTTCAAACGTCTTTCTTACATATTAATCATGTTAATCATGTCTCTGACCAGCCTAAAAACCTGACATATTATATCCCAAAAACGCATAATTACTGTCCCACACGCGTTTCAACTCTAAAACACACATGTTGACCGGACTGTCATCAGTAGTTTTGACGAGTCTGAGGACGGTCCGAAGAAGCCATAAAAGGAGTCGGCGGCGCCCTTGCGGCACCCTAATCTGAGAGCCGAGGATCCGCCGTAAACTGGCAATAAATGGACGTCCCGCGCGCGACTAATTGAGACATTGAGTCCGGGGTCTTGAGGTGGGCCAAGAAAAAAGGAGCCGGTAAGTCGATGATGGATCGCTTTCGGCTTTTTTCTTGGGTTGTCCGAGCGACCGAAGGTGAAAGGTTTTGGTGGCTTGGCAAAGGTGAAAAGCTGTTTTCGAAAGTTCCACTTGATGAGATGCAGTAAGTCAGTATCAAAAATTGATAGCTCATTCGCCTCGAGTTGAAAAAATCTGACTTGCCTGCGTCTCTTTTCTCTAGCTGGTGAGGTCATGGAAGCATGAAAATATTTTGTAAACACAACACAGTATTCAAAGGTTAAAAAGAATGCAAATGAAACAAAATTTGTTTTTTCGGTTCAATTAGATAAAAAAAAATTGGACGTTTAACTTTGGCTCAATTCATTATGTTCATGGCCGCACTGGGAATGGCTCAAAGCGTGAGGCCGACCTGAACCGGCTTACGTCAAAAAGAATTGAAGCAAGTTGAGGTCTGATATCAACCGCAACGCGACCGCGACGCTCTGATCCATTCTAAGTGCGACCATAGGGGTTGGTGTAAACCATTGAATGCCAGGTGCATCTAGCCAAAAGATCCAAAAGCATTGAAACAAGCTTAGACCTGATTCCAACGGTAACGCGACCGCGACGCTTCTAGAAATTCCAACTGCGACCCGAAGCAAGGTAAGACCTGATTCCAACCGCAAGGCGACCGTGACGCTCTGATCCATTCCAAGTGCGGCCATAGGTTGACCAATGCCATTACACACCAGCTTCATCTAGCCGTAAAATCCAAAAGCACTGATCAAAGCTGAAGCTTGATATCAACCGCAACTCTCTGAGCCATTCCAAGTGCGACCATTGATCTACGACGTTTAACACCAGCTTCACCTAGCCGTAATATCAAGATGCATTGAGGCGAGCTAAAATCTGATTCCAACCGCGACGCGACCGCAACGCTCTTATCCATTCTAAGTGCGGCCATAGATTGACCTATGTCATTACACACCAGCTTCATCTAGCCGTAAAATCCAGTAATCCTTCTCGTTTCATTCTTTCTCACTCTCTACCGTAGAAAACCCTCATTTAACCGTAGGGCGACAAATCCTTTTAATGACGGGAACCTATTGTCGAATTAATTGCGCTGCAGGCTCCAGGGGTAATTATTTCCCCCCTTTCTTCGTTACACCATTTTTAAGAGTCTATTTGATAATATTTATAATAAACAAATAAAAAAATCAATAAAATAACAATAAAGGCATAGATATTTTACATGTACCCGTTGTATTGACATGATCGATTTGATTGTTAGTTCTGATATGATGAGAAGAATAAATGATGATAAATCTTGAAACGGAGGCCTCATGGTGAATGACGCATTCCTGAAAATAAAAAATAGTTAGAAAATTTTTTTTTCTCATTGGAGCACATTTGACTTTGAAAAATGGCAGACTCAATTCTTTTAAACTTTTTTTTCACGGCTTTCTTCAAAAATGCGCTACAAGAAATTTAAGCAGAGCTTCTAGGGTATACACTTTTCAGGTTCAAAGAGAGATTAGCGATGGAGCGAACTTACTCACGTTTTTTGAGCCATCGATTTTTAAAATTTTTCTACAATCAAACTTTGGATTTTCGAGTTTAAAGAAAGGTATATCAGTAAAGCACAGTTCAAGCGCTATTTTTCACAAAGTTAGAAAAATTATCAATAGAGCAAACTTGATCATAAATAAAATAAAGCTTGTGGTATCGTAGATTTCTCAATTTTTGATGGACTTTTAAAAATTTAGTTCTCAGCTTGTAAATCGAATCATTTAAAAGAAACTTCAATGTTAAAAAATTTTTCGAATGACCACTATTTTTAAAAAACTACTAATCATTTTTTATTAGGGCGATTTGGCTCCTACTGACTGATTTTTTCAAGTTAATGAACTATTATGAATAAAGAAAAATCACCTTGACTATGGTACATCATATAGGGCTGCTGGGGCGGCGAGTAGGAGCCGCAGGAGGTGGAGGTGGTCGGAGAGACGTTGGCCGTGTAGGGAAGGTAGCCGCCTTGAGCTGGCGACTGTTGCTGGGAGGTGTTCGGAGCTGGAGCTCCTTGGGGGAAGTACATGTCGAAATCGTCGGCCGGCGGCATGTTCGGGAAGAACATTTGGTTGGAGGTGGAGCACGTCGTGGGGAACACTGGAATTTGGGAGATTTTGGGGGAGTCATGAGTTTGAGCTGTGAAAAAATGAGGATTCAGAGGGAATTATGATAAAGCTTCTAGCAAAAGTACAATGGTCTTTCGAAATTTCAAAAAAGTTTTGAGAAGGGCTTATTGAAAAAATTTTGAACTTTCTTGAAAATAAAATAAACAGTAAGGTTGCTCTATGGATAAAACGTTTTAGCTTGTCTCAAGCATCACATCCACTTACGGAAAGTAACAAAATATACAGACCATGGAAATGGCGAAAAAAATTCTATTAGTAAGCCTAATTTTTTTCAGAAAGAGCTTGGGGACCCGAAAAAAATTTTTAAGCTCTTAGGGTCTTTATTAAAAAGCTTTATCAGTTTTAGGAAAAATCCTAAGATCTATAAACTATATAATGACTTGGATTCCACTAGAAATCTCAATTTTTACAATAAAAAATCAAATATTCTCACCTGAAGCATTGTACTGCTCGGCGCCAAGAAGCGACTGTAGATGAGCAATGTACTTGACAGCTTCTCTCAAGGTGTCGGCCTTGCTCAGCTTTTTATTGGCGGCGTGAGGCCGGAGCCTCGTTCGGAGGATGTCGAATCCGTGGTTCACCTGAGAATTTTCGTAATTTATTCAAAAAAGACTTCTTTTCATGTTTCTTAGTGATAAAGAAGTTCCGAGTAATATTTTTTAGAATCCAAAGAAAAAAGATTGAGAATAAGATGAGCCGGGTTTTTCAAAAATGCAAAAGTTCTATGAAATTTTTCTAGAAGGAAATAAAGCGATTTGTAGAATTGGAGAGCCTTTTTAAGGATTTTCAAGAGGTCAAATGACCTTTTTAAAAATTTTTCACAGGTCAGATGTTTAAAAAAAAGAAACTAGGCTCGAAATTTTCCATTCTGGTAATCGTTAGAACTTGGAAAAATAGTGTTGTATACCAAAAAAATTTTTTTTTGGAAAATTAAGGGTTTTTTTGAAGCTAATGATTTCAAAACCATTCTTCGAGGATAAAATTCAAATTTTCTCCACTTTTTTCTATCAATTATCCAATTTTTTTAAGACCGTAATTTAGAAAAAAACCAACCTGGTGGACCCTTTTTCCGTTCACGTTCATTTCTTTTCTGCTGGTTGCCTTTTTTTTGGTTGGTCATCTTAACTTTTATACGAACTTTGGAGCTTTGAAGGATTTCCTGAAAGTTAAAAATCAGTTTTGAACAGAAAAATTAGGAGATAAAAACGGAGAAAATCGAAAAATTTCCGATTTTTTTAAAACTGTTAGAAAGGTTTCTCAAAAATAGATGAGGATTTTTTTCAAGACCCTAGATTTGTTTTTGAAACGCACAGCGAAGTTGAGTACATTTTCTGTAACAAAATTCCTCATGAAGGCAGTCTGAAACAAAGAAATCACGTTAAAATAGAGCAAGTTACCAAAAATAAAATTTTAAAAAATCAAAAAGTCATTAGAAAGTTCTATAAGGAAACCGAAAGACATCAAAAAATCAAAGTTCAAAAAATAGGCGGAGGAACCAGGAACACACTCGATACAGAAGGGGCATTGCCCAAAAATGGTAGCTGGTAGCGCGCGACTAAAGGGGGCGGGGCTATCCGCGAAAGAAAACTCCGCCTCCCTCACTTCCGCGTAAGGCGGAGCCTTAGGCTCTAGGTCGATTAAAAAAGCATAAAAAGCTTAGAAAATACAGTAATTTTTTTCATTTTAATCTTTGGAAAATGTTAGAAATTGAAAAATTTCAGTATTGATTTTTTGAGGCAAAGTAACTTTTTTTAGGGGATTTTTCTGTTGTATAATGAGGGCTGATATTCAAAACTTGTAGAAAAATCGAAACATTAGAAAAATGACAAGAAAACTTGATTTTTAGCTTCTTTTTTTCGAAATATTCTGGCGGGAAGTTATGATTTTGAAAATTTAATATTGGCTCTTTGAAGCCTTGCTCACAATATATCGATTTTATTTGCTTGAAATCGGTTTTTATCATTTTAATATGTCTATAAAGAAAAAAAGAAGCATTGTGAGAAGATTTCAAAATCTAATGGATGGAAAAGGGAAGATGGAATGACCGGCACACGCAGATGGCCAATGGGAATCCCATTTCGAGATTTTTCATTTCAAACAAACAGAGCTTCCTGAAGAAAAAAGAGAAGGAAATTCAAGGTTTTGATGTGGAAAAATGGACGAAAATCATGAAGAACAATTTAAAAAATTAAACGGTATATGGTGGAATGTTTATAATTCCCGCCTTTGTACGAATTTGGTCTATTTTTCGAATCCTCTACGATTTCAAAGCTCCTGATCGCATTTAGAATGGTTTAACGCGTTGCGGTCGCGCTGCGGGTCAAGATAAAGCTCCGAAAAGACTCTTGAAGTTTACCGGGAAGCGTAAGCCGCTTTTGGTCGGGCGCAACTTTCAAAGTCGCCTCGCATGTCGAGCCATTGTACGTGCGCCCGTGAGGAATGAATTTACGATTTTTTGGAGTTTTAGGTGGTTTTTGAGTAACGGGGAGCTTTGGGTAGTAAGGTAGTAAAATAATAATTCAAAGTTTTTTTTTTGAACTTCGAAAGACTGTCACTTTATCAATCATAACTTTCGAGATTTTCCTACTTTAATTGGACTTCATCGCCGTTTTTCCACCCAGTGAGACCTCTCAATTTCCTCCCTCAAATCGTCTTGACCCACTTGAAACCGTCGACACCAGACCGTTGTAATCCGATTAAAATTTGAGGAAAGTCGGATTTGAGTCAATTTTTGAGCGCGTCAAGAGTTATTCTTCGTGACGTTTTGAAGGGTTTTGGAATTTTGAAGATTGAAAAGTTTTCCTAGGCATTCAGGTAGGAAAAACTGTGAAAAATTGAAGAGTTACAGCTGTTATAAAGTCCGTTGGGTTAAATTATCTAGAAATCTAGAAAAACAACAAAAATCCTGGAGAGGAGTCGAACCTGTGACCATACGAGCCTCAATTTCAAATCTAAAAAATAGCAAAAATCCTGGAGAGGAGTCGAACTTGTGAGCATTAGAATCTAAGTTTCGGTGCTAGAAAAAAACAGCAAAAAAATCCTGGAGAGGATTCGAACCAGTGACCATTGGAATCTTAATTTTGAATCTAAGAAAAATTTAAAACAAAAAGACGATTAGAACCAGAAAAAAATTCAGTTTTTTTCTTCGAAATTTATAGTCCAGAAACTTATTAAAAGTTAAGTATTGGAGTTTCAAAGAATGTTCGGAACATCTCCAAAAAGTCCTAAAATCTTGAAGAAATTTTCAAAAAACCTTAAGAAAAATTCGCTCTTTTACAAAGATCCGATTTGAAATCTTCCGTTCAAAACCGAAACCCATCCGGTATCAGCTGGAATACCCATCTCACCTGCCATTTTCAATCCTTGTCCTTGAATCTTTCAACCAATTCATCACAATCCCAATATCACTGACCCAGAACCCGGTCCATTTTCAAACAATGAATCGCTGAATTTCCACTGGCACCTCCCGCTGACAAAGTCGTATATAAATATTTCGACGGCCTTGTCAATTAAGTCAACTCGGAGACGACGGCGCCGGCTGTGCAGATTTCCTCAAGATTTTTGCACGCTGTTGATTCGAATTTGGATCTTTTCTCATCAAAATGGAATCAAAAAATAACTGGGAAAATTTTTAGTGGCCACTACAGGGTTTTGACGTTTTAGTGCTCGCTTTAGTAGTCAAATTAGTGGCCACTCAAGGGGTTAAAAATTAGTGGAAACTATAGAGGCCTAAGGGCTACTACTAGACCACTAAGTGGCCACTTTAGGGGTCAATGGATCAACATAACTGGTCCAATCTGTTTGTTTTAAAATTATCAGAGTTACTGGATGAAAAACTACTGAAGTGGTCACTAAAAAATTTTCCAGAAATATTTTTTGATTTTTTTGATAAAACATCCAGTGTGATAACCCATCATCAGAAATGCGGACCCAACTTTTTGAGCCATTCCCTCTTACTGTAGCCGGGTTACGGTATCCAAGAATTGATGAGTTTTCTATGGGCAAGTTGTATATCAATCGATAGGAATTTTTGAAATCTTTTCAGTGCCTACCATATTGGGTTACTGTAGAAATTTTTTGAGATACGGTAAATGAGGAGTTACCAAATAAGCCTATTTATGGTCAGCATCTCACGAACTTTTTCAATCAATCATGAAGTAAAATGACCTCCCTTGTGAGTGTCCCGCTGTACCCACTTTTGAAAAATTTCAAAAAAAAAAAAGAGTTCACTTCTAAAATGACCTCAAGCCTTTTCCAATAAACTACTATCTGAAAAAACCAGCCGAGTAGATATGAATCCCAAAAAACGGTGCCATAAAAAGGCCGTCAAGCCTATCATTTACTGCTTGGCGATTACATCACAGCTATCCAAAAAACGGCGCTAATTTTTACCTTTCGTCGGTGATAAAAATCTCCATCGGACAGGTGTTTTTTTTCTCCATAGGTTCATCGCTTGCGATTTATATATTATATGGCGCTGCGCATCATATAATTAGCGCTGGGTTACGGTAGGCTTAGTTTTTGAGGGTTTGAGGGGTTTTCCTAACTTCGAAGCGGTGGATGAAGACTTGGAAAGATGGATTTTGAAGAAATAGGATTTCCAGTTTGAGCACTACTGTAGCTGTTACGGTAGCTCCAGAATTGAAGCTTTTCAAAACTGTAGGATTACCGTACCATCCAAACGATAGCTCAAACCTGGAAAAAAGGAATATTTTAGTTGAAAGATTACTATAGCCGTCAGGTGGTTACTGTAGCTGTCAGGTGATTACTGTGGCTTTTGTTTGGTTACTGTATCCGTCAGGTGGTTACTGTAAGCGTCAGGCGGTTACCCTATCCGTCAAGCGGTTACTGTATCAGCCAGTTGGTTACTGTAGCTGTCAGGTGGTTGTTTCAGCTGTCAGGTGATTACTGTGGTCGTCAGGTGGTTACTGTAGACGTCAGGTGGTTACTGGAGCCGTCAGATGATTACTGTAACTAGTATCAGACGATAAATAAATATTTTAGGCGGAAAATGCCTTTCTAGAGCCTGAGAAAGCTTCAGCAGATTTCTTCATTTTTTTGACATCAAAGGGTTACTGTAGCTTGAACTCAAAGGGTTACTGTGGCAAAATTTACTACATGATATCTTAATTTTTTTATTTTTTTAGTGTGATTTTTTTCGCAATTTTAAACTCAAAAAAATTGACAAATGAACAGGAAATGGATCCTTAAGAATTTTTGTAACAAATCAAATTTTTTTCAAATAACTCAAAAGAAGAGAAATTAAAGAAAAAAAGCTTCTTTCTAACTTTTTCCAGACGGCACGAGTCCCAAAAAACATTCCTTACCGCATAAATTACCCAATCCTCTCGAATATCCAATCTGCAAAAAAAGGGCCGCCCGTGTAACCTTGACTTTTAATGGACCTCTTCCAAACTACGGCGGGCGGCCGACAACAAAAAGAACGACAATGTATCAAAGTTGTTCAACAACTGGGTTAGTAGTGCCGCCGTTTTTTCCTCATCAAATCAAATGAAATGGAGAAAAAAACCAAAGTTTTTTGCGAACCGCGACCACCCACCAAGTTAATGGCCCTTGCTTTAAATGGTGCTGTTCCTTTTTTCTATTTTGAATAGACTTTCTTGAGAGTTTGAAATTTTGAGAGATGCGGATGGAGATGAAAAATGAAATTTTTACAAGCTGGTTACTGTAATCTTACAGTAGTTTTTTCAATGAAATATGATTTTATTCCATTGGAATTGGGCTCTTTTTTTCATAAAAAAATGGAGCGGTCACCTTTTAAAGCACGGCTATGAATGAATGGAATATTGCGGATGGTTCAAAAAGCCCTTATGAAAAAAAATAATAACGAAAAATAAACTCTTTTTAACTGTGTGGAAGAAAGAAAATAAGAAAAAAAAAATTGAGAAAAACACCCAGCAAAGACGAAATGATGAGTAAAAAAAAGGCTCAAAAAAAGCCGCAGAAAGGCCGTAAAAAGGCAGCAGAAAGGCCGTAAAAAGGCAGCAGAAAGAGCCCTCTTATCGAGCCTTCCATTCTTCTGGGATTTTAAAGGCTCAGAAATGGTGAAAAAAGGGAGAGGC